ATGAAACTTGGCAAAACTGATCATCAAGGTTGAAATTAAAGTGTCAAGTGAAAAACAACACTAGTCTCTGAGAAAATGGCATATCAAGTCAGTATCTCGTGTGTTCGCCATGTGCATTGATGACTGCCGTGCAACGTCGATACATGGAATGGATGAGGCGGTTGATGAAGGCTATAGGCACTAGAGCCCCCACGCCTGACGCAGTTCACCTGCAGTTGTCGGCCTTGGTCGGACGTCTTTGAATCTTGTCCCACAGGTGCTCAATGGGATTTAAATCGGGGCTGAGGGCAGGCCACTGTATGGTTCTGATGCCATTCTGCTGAAGGAAGTCTCTTGTTGCTCTCGCAGTGTGGGCACGGGCGTCATCATGCTGAAACTCGCGGTTGCGGCGACGTGCCAAATGAGGTATGGCGTGGGTTCTCAAGACTTGACCAATGTACCGAGCTGCTGTGACACCATTGCATCTCCCTGAACCGATGTTCTGGAAGACCACAGAGCCGACACTCTGTGCAAGACCAATTCCATCCCACACCATGCTGCTCGGCCCACCCCACGAGTCTCTCTCAACAACACAAGCATCCGAATAACGTTCCCCACGGCGTCGCCAGACTCTCTCTCTCTCTCTCTCTCTCTCTCTGCCATCTCTTGTTGAGATACATTAACGGCTCTCGTTTGAGAAGAGGACTCTTCTCCACTGCTGGTGGCGCCAATACTGGTGCTGTGTTGCCCACTGAAGACGGTACCGGCGATGACGTGGTGTCAGAATGGGTCCTCGGTGTGGCCTGTGACAGTGGAGGTGTCTGCTCGTCAATCGTCGACGTACGATGTCCGCACTAATGTGTCGCTGGTGTGTCCCCATGGTCTGTCGAGCAGTTTCCGCAGCAGTAACAAAGCGATCTTGAAGATGCTGTCGCACAATCTGACGATCCTGACGTCGGATGGTGACCCTTGGTCTTGGATTTGAAATGCATTGGCTACTTGCCGGGCGGTTTGTCCAAGTTGCAATCGTCCAAAGGCTTGGTGTCGCTGATTTCTTGTCAATCTTGGCATGTTGTAGCGATTCAATAACGAATGAATCTGACAAAAATTACCCAGATATTTAAATGACAACTTTTCATGCAATGTTACCTGCGCTGACGTTTTTTTTGCGGTTCAGTATATATATATATGCCACACGCCAATACCCCACCAGACAATACCTGACACCTTGTGTCAGTACCCCACGCCCAATTATTCTAGTTACCTAGGTTGTTCAGTGTTGAGGAGAGTGGGAACACTTTCGTTAATGACATTGGTATTGTGGTTTGTGTTTACACTTCAGACTGGGCGTGGTCATGTATAGGGAGAGTTGGATCAGTTGCTTTGTTTACACGTCATGGACGGGTGTCACACTTTAGGGTGATGTGATGAAGTAGAACAGGGGACACGGGTAATACATAGCTCCTGACTTAGAGAATATAATACGTCGAGCAGACCAGAAAGACCAACTGACGGAAAATAGTACAAATCCGAACAAATTAGTGTGTTCATTATTGCTTTATTTTATCAGTGATGTGAACTAAACATTTACCCACTAGAGTAGGAGAAATGCAAATAAATATAACTATGAATTGTGTGAACACTTCGGAGAATGATGTAAAAAACATTTTTTTTGTAAATACAAAATGTAATATACGGCGTGGTGTATTGTACATGTGGAGTAATGTCAATGTGGGTCATGTCTGTGTGGTGTATTGTACATGTGGGGTAATGTCAATGTGGGTCATGTCCGTGTGGTGTATTGTACATGTGGGGTAAGGTCAATGTGGGTCATGTCCGTGTGGTGTATTGTACATGTGGAGTAATGTCAATGTGGGTCATGTCCGTGTGGTGTATTTTACATGTGGGGTAATGTCAATGTGGGTCATGTCCGTGTGGTGTATTGTACATGTGGGGTAATGTCAATGTGGGTCATGTCCGTGTGGTGTATTGTTCATGCGGGGTATTGTCAATGTGGGTCATGTCCGTGTGGTGTATTGTACATGTGGGGTAATGTCAATGTGGGTCATGTCCGTGTGGTGTATTGTACATGTGGGGTAATGTCAATGTGGGTCATGTCCGTGTGGTGTATTGTACATGTGGGGTATTGTCAATGTGGGTCATGTCCGTGTGGTGTATTGTTCATGCGGGGTATTGTCAATGTGGGTCATGTCCGTGTGGTGTATTGTACATGTGGGGTAATGTCAGTGTGGGTCATGTCCGTGTGGTGTATTGTACATGTGGAGTAATGTCAATGTGGGTCATGTCCGTGTGGTGTATTGTTCATGCGGGGTATTGTCAATGTGGGTCATGTCAGTGTGGTGTATTGTACATGTGGGGTAATGTCAATGTGGGTCATGTCCGTGTGGTGTATTTTACATGTGGGGTATTGTCAATGTGGGTCATGTCCGTGTGGTGTATTGTTCATGCGGGGTATTGTCAATGTGGGTCATGTCCGTGTGGTGTATTGTACATGTGGGGTAATGTCAGTGTGGGTCATGTCCGTGTGGTGTATTGTACATGTGGAGTAATGTCAATGTGGGTCATGTCCGTGTGGTGTATTGTTCATGCGGGGTATTGTCAATGTGGGTCATGTCAGTGTGGTGCATTGTACATGTGGGGTATTGTCAATGTGGGTCATGTCCGTGTGGTGTATTGTACATGGTGGGTAATGTCAATGTGGGTCATGTCCATGTGGTGTATTGTACATGTGGAGTAATGTCAATGTGGGTCATGTCCGTGTGGTGTATTGTACATGTGGAGTAATGTCAATGTGGGTCATGTCCGTGTGGTGTATTGTACATGTGGGGTAATGTCAATTTGGGTCATGTCCGTGTGGTGTATTGTACATGTGGGGTAATGTCAATGTGGGTCATGTCCGTGTGGTGTATTGTACATGTGGAGTAATGTCAATGTGGGTCATGTCCGTGTGGTGTATTGTACATGTGGAGTAATGTCAATGTAGGTCATGTCCGTGTGGTGTATTGTACATGTGGGGTAATGTCAATGTGGGTCATGTCCGTGTGGTGTATTGTACATGTGGGGTAAGGTCAATGTGGGTCATGTCCGTGTGGTGTATTGTACATGTGGGGTAAGGTCAATGTGGGTCATGTCCGTGTGGTGTATTGTACATGTGGGGTAATGTCAATGTAGGTCATGTCTGTGTGGTGTATTGTACATGTGGGCATTGTCAATGTGGGTCATGTCCGTGTGGTGTATTGTACATGTGGGGTAATGTCAGTGTGGGTCATGTCCGTGTGGTGTATTGTACATGGTGGGTAATGTCAATGTGGGTCATGTCCGTGTGGTATATTGTTCATGTGGGGTAATGTCAATGTGGGTCATGTCCGTGTGGTGTATTGTACATGTGGGGTAATGTCAATGTGGGTCATGTCCGTGTGGTGTATTGTACATGTGGGGTAATGTCAATGTGGGTCATGATCGTGTGGTGTATTGTACATGTGGGGTAATGTCAGTGTGGGTCATGTCCGTGTGGTGTATTGTACATGTGGGGTAATGTCAATGTGGGTCATGTCCGTGTGGTGTATTGTACATGTGGGGTAATGTCAATGTGGGTCATGTCCGTGTGGTGTATTGTATATGTGGGTCAATGTGGGTCATGTCCGTGTGGTGTATTGTACATGTGGGGTAATGTCAATGTGGGTCATGTCCGTGTGGTGTATTGTATATGTGGGTCAATGTGGGTCATGTCCGTGTGGTGTATTGTACATGCGGGGTAATGTCAATGTGGGTCATGTCCGTGTGGTGTATTGTACATGCGGGGTGATGTCAATGTGGGTCATGTCCGTGTGGTGTATTGTATATGTGGTGAAATGTCAATGTGGGTCATGATCGTGTGGTGTATTGCACATGTGGTGAAATGTCCTTCACCTTCCGAAGAGCAGATACAGTCAAACAATGTTGTGTTGAACTTTGATGTGTCGAACTTATCTCGAAAGAAATGCATGGTTCCTTCTTTATTCATCACGTTTGGTTGTGCCGAACCTCGGATAAGTCGAAGTATTTACGAAGAACCCTTCAACTTCGACACAACGAAAAAATTGTGCTACGAGGTTTTTTTATTTTGTTGAATACGGTGTTATTTGTTGTGTGTTTTATATATTGTTATAATGACATGCTGGTACAGAAATAAAAATTGTTATATGGCAGTGTATTATATTCTTGAACAATGATTGTAACCTGTATTACATTGTTTCTGTAGGGATTCGATAGACGCTCATTAAATTGTGTTTGGACAGTGATTAGTTGTCAGGAATGTAGTACTGTTTAATGTAAGCAGTGTACTTTGATAGTATTGAACAATGATACATATACTTAAGATTATACTACTAAAGGTGAAGGGCATAATATCAAACAGTAGAAGCGATTGGAGTAGTGGTCATAGATAGAAAGGATCGGAAGTATACCAAACCATTACCATGTTAATCTAATCGACTGGCTGGTTTGATTTGAACAATGTTATATTAAACACAAGCATACATTTAACACGTAAAAATTATAAGTATATACATTAGATAAAAAGCATAATGTTTATTTTTCAAGGAATGATTAGCTGTTACACTTTATTGAAAATATCTTTTAATGCTTATTAATATTTAATAGAGCTTTCGAGTGAGGATCTTTTTATTGTTTTAGTCTTTGACGTATAATTTATATATAAGTATTTAAACTGTAAATGCGGGTATTTTAAAGGTTTCGTTAAATAATTCATGAGTGTACGGAACTACTTATCGCCAAATCAGCGTGCAGAAAGAATAAGGGGAATGGTTTTCATCCTCCAAAGGGGGAGTGTTATAGTCCTAGGGGGAGTGATTTGATCCTCCTACACCGGGACTCGAACCACGGAGTCTGGAGGCATAAACGTGAGCGAGTGAGTGAGTGAGTATGGTTTTACGCCGCTTTTAGCAATATTCCAGCAATATCACGGCGGGGGACAACACAAATGGGCTTCACACATTGTACCCATGTCGGGATTCGAACCCGGGTCTACGGCGTGACGAGCGAACGCTTTAACCACTAGGCTACCCGACGCCCCGGAGGCATAAACGACAAAACTCTGTACAGCGAACTGCGTCACCTTAGGCGACCTCTTTGGTATGTATAATGTGTTAGCAAGGAAAACAGTATATCTGTGTAAGTTAGTGTGTTGCGATGGGACAATAGTGATCCTCCATGACCTTGTGGATGACCTGACCAGCAGTGTTCTTCTTCTCCTGCACTTTACAACAAGGTTAGTTTCGTGTTTAGATTCACAATGATGTCAACTCTTCTGTTTTGTTTTCTTGCCCTTTGTTCACCTTGGCGTACACATCTGAAATCAAATATCATCGATCTATCTGTAACTCTAAGAGTGGGTTCATGAAGCAATACAGAAAACCAAATATCCTGAACGTTTGGCCATGAATAATCTAAAAAAATAATATGTCTCAAAACAGGACCTTGGATTGAGTGAGACATTTGTGATTAGTTTGTTTAAGCCACTCGAAATAACGAGTATACGACGTACAGTAAACTACATTTAAGGCGAACACACTCATTACGAACTGACGGATATAACGAACTCTTTTTGGTCACGTCTTTTTGCTGTATAAATGCTGTAGCTACGGTTATAACGAACTAAAAATTGTGGTCCCTTTGAGCTCGTTATAACCGTAGTTAACTGTAATTCCATTCAACAACGAACAACTCCCCCTATTAAAAAGAGTATCGGAGTCTCCTTTCCTGAATACAGATATCAGAGAACAGCATCCATGCTAAATTGCTACTAAATAAAAGCAACAAAACCCTTTCCATAATCCTTAGTACTCTCTGCTAAAAGCAGAGTCGAGTGGACGAGTCCCACTGTGTTTATGAATTACTATCAAATAGTGATGACACCAGGTGTTCGCGAAAAGGTGAGCGTATCCTGCCACACCGGTGACACCCGCCACAAGCACATCGAGGTGTTCGCGAAAAGGTGAGCGTATCCTGCCACACCGGTGTCACCCGCCACAAACACATCTAGGTGTTCGCGAAAAGGTGAGCGTATCCTGCCACACCGGTGACACCCACCACAAACACATGCAAAGGCAAGTCAATTGCAAATGAGTTATAATCGTTTACAGAAACCAAACTGAACAGTAGTTAGGGATGCCCCACCTGCAGCATCAGTGTTCTCAGCATTGCGTGAAGGATCCAGGGGCAGTACTTCTGAGGACCTCACATATAAGTTGTTGTCCTCCATTACTGAAATAGTCGACATAATGGAACTTTTTAAAGCTTCGTTATCCAAACAGCCCTTCAAACTAGAATGTTTTCATTATCTATTAAACCCCTCCTTATCTAGCACACCCGGTGTTGATTCCGTGTTGGAATACGTCCCAGTATCCCAAGCTGGTGTGAAAGGCGACCATATGAATCGGGTGGTCACACTGGGTATCTAGCGTTGATTGAGTGTGATCGTACCCGAACGACGTGTGTCGTTGCTCACAATATCAATCAGTGGATTGTCTGGTCCAGACCGCCGTCATATAACTTGAATATTGAGTGCGGCGTTAAAAAAACAAACAAACTAACATTATCTTTTACCAGAAGCACTGTAGTGGAACATGATGTAAAACGAGAAATATTAGCGAACAGTTATATAGCAGATAAAAGTAAAGAAATGGAAGAATTTGAATTAATAATATTAAAGTTTTCAAGGTATGAGTATTGTTACATTTGACTATTAAACCGACGTAATCACTTCATGTAACTGGATAAGATAGGTCAGAAGCAATGTTAAACTTATAAAAATGTTACATACCTATCTTTTCCTGGTAATCAGGGTCGCTTTCTATCCTGGTTTCACAGCTATAATAAAGAATAAATAGCGTTATTATTTTGAGATCAAAATGAAACTGTTTTACGTCCGACCATAGAGAAATACTTTACAAACAGATATATTTAAAATTTTGCTTTTGTATAATAACGTGATGTACATAAGGAAGAGAATGTATGAATGTCATCGCTAATCCACAGCAAAAAAGTGTAGGTTTCCGTTCTCCGGAAACCTCCCGGAAACCTTCCAAAAAAATGTCTATATTTGGGGGGTGCAATTTGTTCACTTAAGTGTGAAACACATACAAAAATTGTCTGAACTTTGCCAAGAAATTTGAAGGTTGCTGAAGGTATCTGGAAGGTTTCCGGAAGGTTTCCGGGAAACGGAAACCTACACATTTTTTGCTGTGATCGCCTATCAGCACCAATTATCTATTGGCTTCCCTTGTTAAGTTTCCACCTTTTGTTATCTTATTACTGTTGTTGTTCTTACGTCTACATATATATGCTCTCTCCCTATCAGTTATTCTCCTGAAGAAGGAGTAAGCATACATTTCGAACCGTTGTGTTCCACAAAATAAAGAAGATGACATCCATAAATTATCTTCCTTATGTGTATCACTTCTAAACACCTTTCAAAGAAGTGATGTATATAATTCAGGAATCACTTCAAGGTGATTAGACGTAAGGACATAGCTATAGACGCAGAGCGAACATACGTGGATCCCTCTGTGTGTCCATGACCAAGGCGTTCAACACTTGAAGCTGAAAAAGCAGTAAAGGGGTGTCACTTTGTGGTCCACTAAATATCCGACCAAACGTATCCTGCCACACCGGTGTCAACCGCCACAAACACATCCAGGTGTTCGCGAAAAGGTGAGCGTATCCTGCCACACCGGTGTCACCCGCCACAAACACATCTAGGTGTTCGCGAAAAGGTGAGCATATCCTGCCACACCGGTGACACCCGCCACAAACACATCCAGGTGTTCGCGAAAAGGTGAGCGTATCCTGCCACACCGGTGACACCCGCCACAAACACATCCAGGTGTTCGCGAAAAGGTGAGCATATCCTGCCACACCGGTGACACCCGCCACAAGCACATCGAGGTGTTCGCGAAAAGGTGAGCGTATCCTGCCACACCGGTGTCACCCGCCACAAACACATCTAGGTGTTCGCGAAAAGGTGAGCGTTTCCTGCCACACCGGTGACACCCACCACAAACACATGCAAAGGCAAGTCAATTGCAAATGAGTAATAATCGTTTACAGAAACCAAACTGAACAGTAGTTAGGGATGCCCCACCTGCAGCATCAGTGTTCTCAGCATTGCGTGAAGGATCCAGGGGCAGTACTTCTGAGGACCTCACATATAAGTTGTTGTCCTCCATTACTGAAATAGTCGACATAATGGAACTTTTTAAAGCTTCGTTATCCAAACAGCCCTTCAAACTAGAATGTTTTCATTATCTATTAAACCCCTCCTTATCTAGCACACCCGGTGTTGATTCCGTGTTGGAATACGTCCCAGTATCCCAAGCTGGTGTGAAAGGCGACCATATGAATCGGGTGGTCACACTGGGTATCTAGCGTTGATTGAGTGTGATCTTACCCGAACGACGTGTGTCGTTGCTCACAATATCAATCAGTGGATTGTCTGGTCCAGACCGCCGTCATATAACTTGAATATTGAGTGCGGCGTTAAAAAAACAAACAAACTAACAATATCTTTTACTAGAAGCACTGTAGTGGAACATGATGTAAAACGAGAAATATTAGCGAACAGTTTTATAGCAGATAAAAGTAAAGAAATGGAAGAATTTGAATTAATAATATTAAAGTTTTCAAGGTATGAGTATTGTTACATTTGACTATTAAACCGACGTAATCACTTCATGTAACTGGATAAGATAGGTCAGAAGCAATGTTAAACTTATAAAAATGTTACATACCTATCTTTTCCTGGTAATCAGGGTCGCTTTCTATCCTGGTTTCACAGCTATAATAAAGAATAAATAGCGTTATTATTTTGAGATCAAAATGAAACTGTTTTACGTCCGACCATAGAGAAATACTTTACAACCAGATATATTTAAAATTTTGCTTTTGTATAATAACGTGATGTACATAAGGAAGAGAATGTATGAATGTCATCGCTAATCCACAGCAAAAAAGTGTAGGTTTCCGTTCTCCGGAAACCTCCCGGAAACCTTCCAAAAAAATGTCTATATTTGGGGGGTGCAATTTGTTCACTTAAGTGTGAAACACATACAAAAATTGTCTGAACTTTACCAAGAAATTTGAAGGTTGCTGAAGGTATCTGGAAGGTTTCCGGAAGGTTTCCGGGAAACGGAAACCTACACATTTTTTGCTGTGATCGCCTATCAGCACCAATTATCTATTGGCTTCCCTTGTTAAGTTTCCACCTTTTGTTATCTTATTACTGTTGTTGTTCTTACGTCTACATATATATGCTCTCTGCCTATCAGTTATTCTCCTGAAGAAGGAGTAAGCATACATTTCGAACCGTTGTGTTCCACAAAATAAAGAAGATGACATCCATAAATTATCTTCCTTATGTGTATCACTTCTAAACACCTTTCAAAGAAGTGATGTATATAATTCAGGAATCACTTCATGGTGATTAGACGTAAGGACATAGCTATAGACGCAGAGCGAACATACGTGGATCCCTCTGTGTGTCCATGACCAAGGCGTTCAACACTTGAAGCTGAAAAAGCAGTAAAGGGGTGTCACTTTGTGGTCCACTAAATATCCGACCAAACGTATCCTGCCACACCGGTGTCAACCGCCACAAACACATCCAGGTGTTCGCGAAAAGGTGAGCATATCCTGCCACACCGGTGACACCCGCCACAAGCACATCGAGGTGTTCGCGAAAAGGTGAGCGTATCCTGCCACACCGGTGTCACCCGCCACAAACACATCTAGGTGTTCGCGAAAAGGTGAGCGTATCCTGCCACACCGGTGACACCCACCACAAACACATGCAAAGGCAAGTCAATTGCAAATGAGTAATAATCGTTTACAGAAACCAAACTGAACAGTAGTTAGGGATGCCCCACCTGCAGCATCAGTGTTCTCAGCATTGCGTGAAGGATCCAGGGGCAGTACTTCTGAGGACCTCACATATAAGTTGTTGTCCTCCATTACTGAAATAGTCGACATAATGGAACTTTTTAAAGCTTCGTTATCCAAACAGCCCTTCAAACTAGAATGTTTTCATTATCTATTAAACCCCTCCTTATCTAGCACACCCGGTGTTGATTCCGTGTTGGAATACGTCCCAGTATCCCAAGCTGGTGTGAAAGGCGACCATATGAATCGGGTGGTCACACTGGGTATCTAGCGTTGATTGAGTGTGATCGTACCCGAACGACGTGTGTCGTTGCTCACAATATCAATCAGTGGATTGTCTGGTCCAGACCGCCGTCATATAACTTGAATATTGAGTGCGGCGTTAAAAAAACAAACTAACTAACATTATCTTTTACCAGAAGCACTGTAGTGGAACATGATGTAAAACGAGAAATATTAGCGAACAGTTATATAGCAGATAAAAGTAAAGAAATGGAAGAATTTGAATTAATAATATTAAAGTTTTCAAGGTATGAGTATTGTTACATTTGACTATTAAACCGACGTAATCACTTCATGTAACTGGATAAGATAGGTCAGAAGCAATGTTAAACTTATAAAAATGTTACATACCTATCTTTTCCTGGTAATCAGGGTCGCTTTCTATCCTGGTTTCACAGCTATAATAAAGAATAAATAGCGTTATTATTTTGAGATCAAAATGAAACTGTTTTACGTCCGACCATAGAGAAATACTTTACAAACAGATATATTTAAAATTTTGCTTTTGTATAATAACGTGATGTACATAAGGAAGAGAATGTATGAATGTCATCGCTAATCCACAGCAAAAAAGTGTAGGTTTCCGTTCTCCGGAAACCTCCCGGAAACCTTCCAAAAAAATGTCTATATTTGGGGGGTGCAATTTGTTCACTTAAGTGTGAAACACATACAAAAATTGTCTGAACTTTACCAAGAAATTTGAAGGTTGCTGAAGGTATCTGGAAGGTTTCCGGAAGGTTTCCGGGAAACGGAAACCTACACATTTTTTGCTGTGATCGCCTATCGGCACCAATTATCTATTGGCTTCCCTTGTTAAGTTTCCACCTTTTGTTATCTTATTACTGTTGTTGTTCTTACGTCTACATATATATGCTCTCTCCCTATCAGTTATTCTCCTGAAGAAGGAGTAAGCATACATTTCGAACCGTTGTGTTCCACAAAATAAAGAAGATGACATCCATAAATTATCTTCCTTATGTGTATCACTTCTAAACACCTTTCAAAGAAGTGATGTATATAATTCAGGAATCACTTCATGGTGATTAGACGTAAGGACATAGCTATAGACACAGAGCGAACATACGTGGATCCCTCTGTGTGTCCATGACCAAGGCGTTCAACACTTGAAGCTGAAAAAGCAGTAAAGGGGTGTCACTTTGTGGTCCACTAAATATCCGACCAAACGTATCCTGCCACACCGGTGTCAACCGCCACAAACACATCCAGGTGTTCGCGAAAAGGTGAGCATATCCTGCCACACCGGTGTCACCCGCCACAAACACATCTAGGTGTTCGCGAAAAGGTGAGCATATCCTGCCACACCGGTGACACCCGCCACAAACACATCCAGGTGTTCGCGAAAAGGTGAGCGTATCCTGCCACACCGGTGACATCCGCCACAAACACATCCAGGTGTTCGCGAAAAGGTGAGCATATCCTGCCACACCGGTGACACCCGCCACAAGCACATCGAGGTGTTCGCGAAAAGGTGAGCGTATCCTGCCACACCGGTGTCACCCACCACAAACACATGCAAAGGCAAGTCAATTGCAAATGAGTAATAATCGTTTACAGAAAGCAAACTGAACAGTAGTTAGGGATGCCCCACCTGCAGCATCAGTGTTCTCAGCATTGCGTGAAGGATCCAGGGGCAGTACTTCTGAGGACCTCACATATAAGTTGTTGTCCTCCATTACTGAAATAGTCGACATAATGGAACTTTTTAAAGCTTCGTTATCCAAACAGCCCTTCAAACTAGAATGTTTTCATTATCTATTAAACCCCTCCTTATCTAGCACACCCGGTGTTGATTCCGTGTTGGAATACGTCCCAGTATCCCAAGCTGGTGTGAAAGGCGACCATATGAATCGGGTGGTCACACTGGGTATCTAGCGTTGATTGAGTGTGATCGTACCCGAACGACGTGTGTCGTTGCTCACAATATCAATCAGTGGATTGTCTGGTCCAGACCGCCGTCATATAACTTGAATATTGATTGCGGCGTTAAAAAAACAAACAAACTAACATTATCTTTTACCAGAAGCACTGTAGTGGAACATGATGTAAAACGAGAAATATTAGCGAACAGTTATATAGAAGATAAAAGTAAAGAAATGGAAGAATTTGAATTAATAATATTAAAGTTTTCAAGGTATGAGTATTGTTACATTTGACTATTAAACCGACGTAATCACTTCATGTAACTGGATAAGATAGGTCAGAAGCAATGTTAAACTTATAAAAATGTTACATACCTATCTTTTCCTGGTAATCAGGGTCGCTTTCTATCCTGGTTTCACAGCTATAATAAAGAATAAATAGCGTTATTATTTTGAGATCAAAATGAAACTGTTTTACGTCCGACCATAGAGAAATACTTTACAACCAGATATATTTAAAATTTTGCTTTTGTATAATAACGTGATGTACATGAGGAAGAGAATGTATGAATGTCATCGCTAATCCACAGCAAAAAAGTGTAGGTTTCCGTTCTCCGGAAACCTTCCGGAAACCTTCCCACTTTCGATCCGGCCCGGATATCTTCCGGAAACCTCCCGGAAACCTTCCAAAAAAATGTCTATATTTGGGGGGTGCAATTTGTTCACTTAAGTGTGAAACACATACAAAAATTATCTGAACTTTACCAAGAAATTTGAAGGTTGCTGAAGGTATCTGGAAGGTTTCCGGAAGGTTTCGGAGAACGGAAACCTACACATTTTTTGCTGTGATCGCCTATCAGCACCAATTATCTATTGGCTTCCCTTGTTAAGTTTCCACCTTTTGTTATCTTATTACTGTTGTTGTTCTTACGTCTACATATATATGCTCTCTGCCTATCAGTTATTCTCCTGAAGAAGGAGTAAGCATGCATTTCGAACCGTTGTGTTCCACAAAATAAAGAAGATGACATCCATAAATTATCTTCCTTATGTGTATCACTTCTAAACACCTTTCAAAGAAGTGATGAATATAATTCAGGAATCACTTCATGGTGATTAGACGTAAGGACATAGCTATAGACGCAGAGCGAACATACGTGGATCCCTCTGTGTGTCCATGACCAAGGCGTTCAACACTTGAAGCTGAAAAAGCAGTAAAGGGGTGTCACTTTGTGGTCCACTAAATATCCGACCAAAATATATGTCCATGTCACTATCCCTAGGCTACAGGGCTACAGCAACAGCAGAAATGAAATATTTGCCACCTTTGGCGTTTTGTCATCATGTCTATGTCTGTGTATGTACATGACTCATTCGTCAGAGGGAGTGACAATGTGGCCTTAGGCGTGTCAGGGTCGTCCATGATAATAAACACAATACCTGTACTGTTGGATGAGTATGATTTTACGCCGCTTTTAGCAATATGCCAGTCCTATCACTGCGGGGGACACCAGAAATGGGCTTGATACATTGTACCTTTATGGGGAATCGAACCTGAACCTTCGACGTACAAGCGAACACTTTAACCACTACGTCACCCCGCCGAGTGACGCACTTACACGCATTAAATTCAGATACCAATGCCATGAACGTAAGTCCTACCTGCGTCCTTCTCTCGTCGCCTCCTACAGACAATCACGACTACGACTACGACGACAGCCAGTGCAGCAGCGACAGCTCCACACACGGAGCCGACTATGATGTAGATACGCTTACTGGAGTCCTTGTCATCTTAAAATAGAAACACATTTCCGCATATCAGAAACACAGTGGAACATGTGTCCGATTCCACTTCCCGTGTCTTAATGCTACGGGCGAGTCTTGCATTACGTGATGGATAGAAAATCGAGTTTTTAAAAACTATTCATCAACAAACTGATAACTCCTTTTATTCTTTTTCAAATCCAATAGGGATATAACATGAAACTACTAAAGCTATTAGGACTAACAAGATAGGCCTTGTTTCAGAAGAACACTACTGGCCAAAATGGTGTCGTCTGATACACACATGTATATATTTTTTTAATCGTTTATGGAAACCCATTATCCGTTTCAGTAGTTAAGCTCGTGAGTATTTTTACACTCAAAGGACTTGAAAGTGTGAGCTAGGTCTATTATATATTTCGAAGTTTAACAAAAAGTGTCCCTTCTTTGTTTTGTAATGTCTGGCATCGACGACTTTTCGATAAATGTGACTCACACTTCGAATTCCAACTGCAAGGTTCTGAGTGATAAGCCCTCGGTTTAAAATGTCAAGGCAATTGGAGCATTCAGTGGACAAATTTGCTTCAGACAAAAAAATTAAAAGACAAAGATAAAATAACATTTATGTATTTGAAAACCTGACATATCTGTTCTGCGTGTACAGTCACTGTTCAACACTCCAGGGATGTTTGATTTGTTGTTAGGATACGTGTGTAAATATCCTACCATGCTTAGTAAACCTTGCAGTTGTGACTGTCGAACGTCCTGTTGAAACACTGACTTTGTCAGTTCCACGTGGTTTTCTGTCGGGAGATGAAGTATTTTCAGTTGATGATGCGATGGTAGAACTTCCTGTTGAACCTGGGGATTTTGTTCCAGGCGATGACGTATTTTCAGTAGATGGTGAGATGGTAGAACTTCCTGTTGAACTTGGAGATTTTGTGCCATGCGGTGACGTATTTTCAGTAGATGGTGAGATGGTAGAACTTACTGTTGAGGATGGGGATTTTGTACCATGCGGTGACGTATTTTCAGTAGATGGTGAGATGGTAGAACTTCCTGTTGAACCTTGGGATTTTGTACCATGCGGTGACGTATTTTCAGTAGATGGTGAGATGGTAGAACTTCCTGTTGAACCTGGGGATTTTGTTCCAGGGGATGACGTATTTTCAGTAGATGGTGAGATGGTAGAACTTGCTGTTGAACTTGGGGATTTTGTGCCATGCGGTGACGTATTTTCAGTAGATGGTGAGATGGTAGAACTTACTGTTGAACCTGGGGATTTTGTGCCATGCGGTGACGTATTTTCAGTAGATGGTGAGATGGTAGAACTTCCTGTTGAACCTGGGGATTTTGTACCATGCGGTGGCGTATTTTCAGTAGATGGTGAGATGGTAGAACTTACTGTTGAGGATGGGAATTTTGTACCATGCGGTGACGAATTTTCAGTAGATATTGAGATGGTAGAACTTCCTGTTGAACCTGAGGATTTTGTACCATGCGGTGACGTATTTTCAGTAGATGGTGAGATGGTAGAACTTCCTGTTGAACCTTGGGATTTTGTTCCATGCGGTGACGTATTTTCAGTAGATGGTGAGATGGTAGAACTTCCTGTTGAACCTGGGGATTTTGTACCATGCGGTGACGTATTTTCAGTAGATGGTGAGATGGTAGGACTTACTGTTGAGGATGGGGATTTTGTACCATGCGGTGACGTATTTTCAGTAGATATTGAGATGGTAGAACTTCCTGTTGAACTTGGGGATTTTGTACCATGCGGTGACGTATTTTCAGTAGATGGTGAGATGGTAGAACTTCCTGTTGAGGATGGGGATTTTGTACCATGCGGTGACATATTTTCGGTTGATGATGCAATGGTAGAACTTCCTGTTGAGGATGGGGATTTTGTTCCAGGCGATGACGTATTATCAGTAGATGATGCGATAGTGGAACTTCCTCTTGGACCACGTGAATTACTGCCAGGCGGTGACGTATTTTCAGAAGATGAAGCGAGGGTATAACTTCCTGTTGAAGCACTGAATTCCTCTGTGTTAGATGATTCTCCACCAGGCAATGTTATCGTCGTGACTGCACTCGCCATAGCATATGAAGATGGTCCATGGGTGGACAGGCCATGCGTTGTCATGGCTGTAGGTCCTGAAGTCATAGGAACAACATCAGGTGAGACAGAACCTCCAGGAAGGCCAGCATCTGAAACCTCATCTCAAAAATCACATTTTCCATTTCTACACTGATCACACAATCTCAAGGAGAAAGATTTTTACATAGTTTCAATATTTATTTGGTCAATGTGAACTTGTGTCTGTCTCAAACGTCTTAACCTAAAATATGGTCAGCTAATACCACAGGTAGGCCAGCTGTTTAGGTACAACCCAATTGTTTTGCGTTCCGTACGGGAATCAGCCTCTAGAGTCAGGTAGCCACAGATACACACTAAACATGACCAGTCCTAAGGACAAATCAGATCCAGTTTCATGTCATGTCACTAATCTTGTCTATTCCCACAGTCAGATGCACACTAATCATGTGTAGTCCCACAGACAGATGCACTCTAATCATGTGTGGTCCCAAAGACAGATACACGCTAACCATGTCTGGTCCTAAAGACAGATACACACTAATCATGTGTGGTCCCACACATATATCAACACTAATCATGTGTAGTCAGAAAGATAGATACACACTAATCATGTGTAGTCCCAAACACATATCCAGACTAAACATGTGTGGTCCCAAAGACAGATACACACTAGTCATGTATAGTTCCAAAGACAGATACACAGTAAACATGTGTAGTCACAAATACTCATATTCACACTCATCATATGTAGTCCCAAAGACAGATACACACTAGTCATGCGTAATCCTACAAATCTGTACTCACCAAGTTCCAAGTGATTGCTGGTGCCCGTCTGTCCTCCTGCTTGATCCTGACACCACCACTCATCATCGTCGTCAGCCCGGGAACTAAGCGTGAACGTCACCGTGTGCATAGTTGGTTCACAGCTAACTGTGACGTCGCCTTTAATGATGACGTTGTAGACGTCTTGGATGGGTGCCATGCTACAGTAAGACATAGGTCCCGCTAAAGTCTGGAAGATTTTACTTCCGCTTCTAAACCACGTTATCACACGGCCGCCATCCGTTCTGCCGTCACTACGACACACAAGGGTATATTGATCCATCTGTGCTGGCGCTTGCAGGAGGCGGGTAAGATTCATGGAACCTTTATAGATAAACAAAAACAATATCCAAGTATTATTTATACGTGTACTAAAGCATCGTCATACATACATACATACGCACGCACGCACGCACGCACGCACGCACGCACGCACGCACGCACGCACGCACGCACGCACGCACGCACGCACGCACGCACGCACATACATACATACATACATACATACATACATACATTCATACATACATGTCTCTCCCGCTCTTGGATGCGATCGTTCGGCCAATACGTTTATCTGCGTTTATCAGCCACATCTATGTGGAACAACTTATTAGACACTCCCCTCTCTCCAAGTTACGACGTCATCAATGTGCGTGCGCATGTTCGAATCTTCAGAAATGACGTCAGGATAGAACGATGTGAAATAAACCACGCTCCGCTCTTCATTGTTCTTAGCGATTTATCCTGTATCTATCTAATGTTTAGGACTATGATTATGCGCCACATTTCACTAAAGTAAATATTCACTGCGCTACTACATTATTATGGATAAGTAAGATCATCCTCAATTCCCTGGAGTTTTTGCATCCCAAGCTCCCTATGATGCGCTAGGCGGTTAACAATCACTATACCATCCTACCGGGTACCCATTCACTGCTGGGTTAACAGAGGCATATCAGGAACAGAGTCACTTGCCCAAGGAGACACCCTGCATGTGCTACATGTGCTTTAGTGTGGGGCAGGACCGCAGCTCTAAAACCTCTCAGGAGTCAATAAATAATAATATAATAACGATCTTGATTAATCCTGTAAGACATCAGACCAGACTCGCTACAATATCATAATGAATTTAATTGATCACGATGTCGAAAGTTGCGAATATAAAACTGTAACATGCAAGCTTGGGTAGAAACACTCGAGAACCTTTCCAGCTATTCATTCTACCAATTTGCAGCGACAATGTGATTTCTTCCGATCACAAAAAGTAACTTTCATTATTCCCTCTGCGATCTCTCCGCTGTTTTTAAATTGTGAAACATTTTCCGCATTCCTTAAACAAGTTAGAGAGATGTATTCTCAACTAAAGCCAGCATGTTCTCTTTTTTCTTTTTCTTCCGACCGATTCCTCCTTTGGCAGTTCAGCATGTGATGAAAACCCACAAATTAATATTTGGCCCTACTTATCTACAGGGGCGGTCGGGTAGCCTAGTGGTTAAAGCGTTCGCTCGTCACGCCGAAGACCCGTTTTCGATTCCCTACATGGGTACAATGTGTGAAGCCCATTTCTGGTGTCCCCCGCCGTGATATTGCTGGAATATTGCTAAAGGCGGCGTAAAACCATACTTACTCACTCACCCCTTCTTATCTACGTCATTAGACCTCAAATAAGTAAGAAAAGATAATCAGATTCAAATCAAAAACAGTTTCAAAAACGTTTTGTTTCGTTGAACACGATTATGGTGTTCGGAAACTTACCAGAAATACCGGTCGCAGAACAAATGATCATGATGCACAGTCGACACAAGAAAGCCTCCATCGTGAAGCTGGATGAACAGTAACACACTTCTACTGAGTCGCTATTCAACACTTTGATTGATTCTTACTTACACAAACTTAAAACATCATTCGACATCCAAGACTAAGGATCAATTCAACATGTGAGTAGATGACGTAAACACGACACGCACACCACCAAGCCCGTGTTCGTATAAACACCGCTGCTGACTTCCTGGTGCAAGAGACAGCTCTGAAGCATGTAACGGTAAAATGTTATCACACACCTTTGTAAATGGATGCATGTGTACGCCTAGTGATCCCCTCGCCAGCATTCAATGCACAGCTCGTTTGAGTCATTACAATTCATAAAGATAACACGATGTAGGGATGGTTTTTGATTATTATCATGAGGATGGTCATACCACATGCCTTGACTGTGTAAGTGTATCCTAGTGATGGAGGACTTTGCTCATTTTCATCAAGGATGTACCCGGTCTATTCGATGCCCGCACAGATATGCTGTATTTGGATCAATCTCCGCCTGCATGCATGGAAAGTATCCTACTTGTTGTATGCAAACTGTTACATACTTTGTAGTGAGGCTCTGTGTGTGTGTGTGTGTGTGTGTGTGTGTGTGTGTGTGTGTGTGTGTGTGTGTGTGTGTGTGTGTGTGTGTGAATGTGAGTCTGTGTGTGGTGTGTGTGTGTGTGTGTGGCGTGTTAGTGGTGTGTGTGTGTGAGTGTGAGCATATGTGTGAGTGAGTGTCAGTGTGTGCGTGTGTGTGTGAGTGTTTGTGAGATAGTGTGTGCGTGTGTGAGTGTGTGTGTGAGTGTGCATGTGTAAGTGTGAGTAGGTGTGTGTGTGAGTGAGTGTGTGAGTGTAAATGTGTGTGAGTGTTACATACTTCGTAGTGAGGCTCTGTGTGTGTGAGTATATGTGTGAGTGTGTGTGAGTGCGCGTGGTGTGTGTGTGAGTATGTGTGTATGTGAGTGTGTGTGGAAGTGTGAGTGTGTGTGCCTGTGTGAGTGTGAGTAGGTGAGTGTGTGTGTGAGTGAGTTTGTGAGTGTAAATGTGTGTGAGTGTTACATACTTCGTAGTGAGGCTTTGTGTGTGTGAGTGTGAGTCTGTGTGTGGTGTGTGTATGACGTGTGTGTGAGTGTGTGTAGTGTGGTTGGAGTTTGGGTGGGTGTGTACGTAAGAGTGTGTGTGGATATGTGTGTGTGGTGTATGTGTATGTGTGTGAGTGTGAGTGTGTGTTATTTGTGTCTGTGAGTATGAGTGTGAGTGTGTGTGTGTATGAGTGTGAATGTGTGTGTGTGTGTGAATGAGTGTATGTGTGGTGTGTGTAGCGTGTGTGTGTATGTGAGTGTGTGAGTGTGTGTGCTTGTGTGAGTGTGAGTAGGTGAGTGTGAGTGTGTGAGTGAGTTACATACTTCGTAGTGAGGCTCTGTGTGTGGTAGCGTGAGTCTGTGTGTGGTGTGTGTGACGTGTGTGAGAGAGTGTGTGTATGAGTGTGGTGGGAGTTTGGGTGTGTGTGTACGTAAGAGTGTGTGTGGATATGTATGTGTTGTGTATGTGTGTGAGTGTGAGTGTGAGTGTGTGCTATTTGTGTCATTGAGATTGAGTGTGAGTGTGTGTTATTTGTGTCATTGAGTTTGAGTGTGAGTGTGTGTGGTGGGATTTGTATTGTATGCAAACTGTTACAAATTTCGTAGTGAGGCTCTGTCTGTGTGTGTGTGTATGAGTGTGAATGTGTGTGTGTGAATGTGCGTCTGTGTGTGTGGTCTGTGTGTGGCGTGTGAGTGGTGTGTGTGAGTGTGTGTGTGTGTATGAGTGTGAATGTGTGTGTGTGAATGTGCGTCTGTGTGTGTGGTCTGTGTGTGGCGTGTGAGTGGTGTGTGTGAGTGTGAGTATATGTGTGAGTGAGTGTGTGTGAGAGAGTGTGAGTGTGTGTGCGTGTGCGTGTTTGAGTGTTAGTATGTGAGTGTGTGGGGGGGAGTGTGCGTGTGTGAGTGTAAATGTGTGTGCGTGTTACATACTTCGTAGTGAGGCTCTGTGTGTGTGAGTGTGTGTGTGGTGTGTGTGAGTGTGGTGTGTGTGGTGTATGTGTGTGAATGAGTGTGTGTGGTGTGAGTGTGAGGTCGAGCGTGAGTTTTTGTTTGTGCATGTGTGTGTGTATATGTTAGTGTTTGCGTGTGTGTGTGTGTGTATGAGAGAGTGTGTATGACTGTGTGTGTCTGTGGGTGGGTGGGTGTGAGTGTGTGTGTGTGTGTGTATGAATGTGTGAGTGTGTGTGTCGTTGGATTTGGGGTGTGTGTGTATGTAAGAATGTGTGTGGATATGTGGGATGGGGAGGGTTACTGGTCTGTGTGAGTGAGTGTGTGTTTATGGGTGCGTATGTGTGTGTATGTGGGTGTTTATGTGTGTATGTGTTTGTGTGTTTTCTTTTGTTTTCTTTTGTTTTCTTATTATTTCTTTTGTTCATGACATTGGTGTCCATATGTAGATCTGACAAATCAATTATTCATAAAAACACCAACATGTGTTTTCGTTTGTTTTGCTCTGCTTTTCTGATATACCTATGTTGGGGACAGATCTTATCTAACCCGTCACCAGTCCCTGTTAAATGTCACGAACGATAGAAAAAGCGAGACATATTTTTTCTCCTTCACTGGCGTGTCTTTTATTTTGAAAAGTTTGAACCAAACTTTCTAATTAATTTCAATCCGAGGCAAATCCTATCTCATCTGACAAATGTTAGTTTAATGATAAACATTCCAATGCAATGTTAGGTTGTGGAATTCGGAATTAATACGAAGGCAATGATATTTGTCACTTCTATGTGTCAGGAAAATGTTGATGCACAACGAAAGTATTCACCCGGCTTCTCTTGTCAGCGTGTCTACAGTAGCGATGACGTATGCTACCAACCCACTTAATCTGTGCCTATGTGTACAACTTGCGCTAATTTTGTTATCCCTCCATAGTGCCACTCCATTCAAACATCATCATCAAACATAATAATAATATGTTTCTACTTGTTTTACTCAAGTCTTTAATGTGTTGGATAGACTACAGAAAAGCTTATGATTCTGTACCTCAAATTACCGAATTAATTTTGAAGTCACGGCGGGAATGTACTGACCTCGAGCGACTACTTGCTTTACTCAAGTCTTTAATGAATTGCTGGTCAACTCAACTTGAGGGGTATTCTCAGCGGCAGGTGGTGACTTTGGAACCTATTTCTATTAGAAGAGGAATTTTTCAGGGCGATTCTTTAAGTCTTTTGCTTTTCTGTTTGTCACTGAATCCTTTAAGCTTTTTGCTCAGCAAAGAGGAAGGTTATCACCCTGGACCTCCTCAGCACAGATCCCCAACACCTACTCACCACCTTTACATGGATGGCCTTGAACGTATTGCCAATGGAGGATCTACACTAAAAAACAGATTGTGCTTGTCGAGTCCTTTCCTAATTATATTGGCATGTCCTTTGGACTCGACAAATGCAACATTCTTCGTCTGAAACGTGGCAAGGTAAAAGAGAGAGGATCAGTCAGTTAACTTGGGGGAGGAGTTATTGACCATCTCGTGGAAGGTCAGGCCTATACGTACTTAGGGATGCAGATTAGGGACAAACTCCAGAATGACCATATCAAGGAAAAACGTCGGGCAAATGTACTCTGAAGAAAATCTGGTGTTCAGCGCTAAACGCTCGCAATTAAGTCAAAGCCACAAATACTTATGCTGCGTCCCATCCTTTCGTATTCTTTTGGTGTTGTTGATTGGACGAAACAAGAAATTCAGGGTATTGACACCCTCACAAGAAGAATCATGGCAGACAATAGATCCCACCACCCTCGCTCTTCCCTCAATTACTTATATTTACCAATTTTGATGGGAGGGCGTGGTTTGATTAATGTGGAGGCTCTTCATGATAGAATTGTTTTGTGCACTTTTTGCACACATTTATTTGTCTGATGATCCTCTTGTGGAGAATGTCAAGACTCATGATGAAAACAAGGCATTCCGCAGTTTTCTAAAACGAGCCAAGGATGTGGGACATAATCTCAATGTCAGTGTTGATTAGGTTGATGGTTCTGTACTGCTTGACGGTACAGAGATGAGTGTCAATCTAGCGAAGTGCCATATCAAATCGGCCAAGTCTCAGTTTTTCAAGAAGAGGTTATCTGAACGACCACTGCTTCGAGTTCATGTGCAGTGTGTTGAGAAGGTAGGGAACCCTGCAGCGTCCTTCGCTTGGATGAGGTCGGCTGGACTGAAAAGTGAAACAGAAGGCTTTCTGTTTGCTGCTCAGGACCAGTCACTTCCCATTCGAGACCGTCAATGTGTGATTTTGCATCAAAATGTTAATATGAAATGTAGATTATGCAATGAATTTAATGAGACTGACCAACACATTGTCAGTGGATGCCCAGCTTTGGCACAATCACAGTATCTTAAGCGATATGATGGAATGACTCGATCATTTTATTATCGTCTTGGCCACGCTAGTGGTTTTGACACAGAGGTCCATCCATGGTACGAACCGGAATATGTAGAGGGCGTCATGGAAAATGATAAATACAAAATTCTTTGGAATAGGCCCGTATACAGCCTCAGACGCATCCAGGCCAACAAACCTGATCTTGTCCTTTTTGATAAATACACTGAAATCATTTATATCATTGAATTTTCTGTACCTTTTGACACCAATATGATTGACAAGATTCAGGAAAAACATGGCAAATATGCAGACCTCGCGTTCGAAATATCACGCTTGCATCCCAAGTACCAAGTTGTCCGACTCCCCATTGTTCTCGGTGCCTTAGGTTTCGTACCTCCCAATCTGTTGACTGACATTTGGAGAGTACCCGGGTTTGCTACCAGGAATACAGCCTACAATTTGGGTAATGCAGAAGGCTGCAGTGTTATGGAGTCTTCACATTCTCCGAAACGTTCTTGGTGGGTTTGACTTGGCAGCGCTTCCTGGGAGAAGTCCCATTCGCTGTCTGGGCTGCGTGTAGAGGGGGCAATAGCCATGAGCTGATGATGAGCCTGACAAGCCTGACTGTGCCAGGACCACCCAAACCCAATTTTTATTTTGATCTGTACATAATAATGGCATATATATTACCCTGTAATTGTAATGTTGAGGTGGCCAGATTTGGAGGGGGAAGTGTGATGACGTTGGCGGCTAT